CCAGAATTCCCCAGCCAGCATTCGCTGGCTGGGGAATTCTGGGAGTTGAAGTCCAGACATCTTCAAGTTGCCAAGGTTGAGAAACACTGATCCAGAGTATTCTATATTATTCTGGATTTTTCTTATGCTATTTCTTCCTGCATCAATACGATTATCAAATTGGTTGAGGAATATCTTGAGCAGTGTGGTGGAACAAAGAGGGCCCTCTGTTAAGCTATCCGACTTCAATAACTTAAGCATCTACTTAGCAGCTCAACTAATGTGGCCACAGCTGAAGATTCTGGACAGCAGGAGAAATTTGGGGGCAGTTATTACAAAGTCTTTCTCAATATTCCATTTCCCATAGTTCTTACTTTTATCCCCCCCCCCCCCAAGGCAAGAATCGTAATAAACTCTTTTTTGGATAAGGGATTCGATCAATACTTAGTATTCATCTTTTCTTTTTTTGCAAATAATAATATACATGCCTTTTATTGTGTTGACAGACAGAAGAAAGAGGCTTAGCAGTGCCTTTACGTAGTTGATTGTTATATTCTTCCTCTACTCACCAGCTTCATCCACGTGCTGGTCAAAGATATGATACATGCCAGCAAAGGCATAGTTCTCACTTAGTGTAGTATCCCCAGCCATAGCACGACTAGCTTCAGCCACTGAAGTGGGGACAACACTCCCTGGGGATCTAAGGAAGAGAATAATATAAACTGACAGATCATCAACAGAAATGGGGCAGGGAGACAAGGCAACACTAAAGAACCTTTATTCCTTGATTCAATGTACCGGACTCACAACATTGGGTATCACCAGCCTTTTCTGATTAAAACTTTTTTTTTTTAAAGTAATACGCAGCAAGTGAGCAGATTGACTAGAACATGGGACCTTTTTCTCTGGCTGGCTTTATACCTTTCATCGTAGGCAGCTCGGTTCATTTGAGCTTGCAGCTGATAGGAACCCCGGCTGACAGAGCGGCGGTGGCCTCGGGCACCCAGTGCTCTTGGGTCGTCATCAAAATCCTATTGTTACAACACATAATTTTTACATTTTAAGATAGAAATTTCTTGGCAGACACAATGCAGAGGAACGCTATGTGAAGGGAAGATATGGGCAAGCTTGTCCCTAGGGATGTTGGATTGGAAACAATCGCAATGAAACGTCAGTGCTATACAGTGGTGGGATTCAAATAATTTAACAACCAGTTCTCTGCCCTAATGACCAGCAGGATAGGTAGGGCTTAGTGGTCATGTTACTGGGTGGGCATGGCCATCTCAACATCACTAACATTGATGGGCGCTTCACCTTAGCTGTTACAATGTCATAAGGGTTAACCAGAGAGGCAGTTTCTATAAGCAGGTCAATAAAGATTAGGCTAGAAACAACACCAGAATGTTTCCTTCCTGCCTTCCTTATAGGATTAACCCTGTAAAGTGGAAAAAAACAAAAGGAGATTTCTTCCAACAACCGGTTCTCCGAACTGCTTAGAAAGTTACCAACCGATTCTCCCGAATAGGTGCGAACTGGCTGAATCCCACCACTGGTGCTATATTAGGTAACATGGTATTGACAAATTCTGTCTGATCCTTTCCTCTCCCCAATTCTTGTTTGGATATTTTCAACTTCTTGTGACTAGAAAAGTGTACGGTAAATAATTTCTAAGAAACAAGGTGCTACTTTTTTAATTCTTTCAAATGGTCTAGGTCAGTGTTTTTCAACCACTGTGCCGCGGCACACTAGTGTGCTGTGACATAGTGTAAGGTGTGCCATGGGAGAATTACTTTATATATAGTCAATATAGGCACAGAGTTAAATTTTTTTAACATTTTCTAATGGTGGTGTGCCTCGTGATTTTTTTCATGAAAAAAGTGTGCCTTTGCACAAAAAAGGTTGAAAAACACTGGTCTAGGTTAGGGTTACTCTTTTTTCCTGTTATACCAAACCTCTTTGAAACACAGAATCAGAATTATGCAAGACTGATTCAATGCAATTAAGTTTTCCAAGCTTTTATTTTTTAAAAAAATCTTCATTATCCCAGAACTGAACTGATTATCATCAGGCTATTCTTAATATGCAAAAAAAACCCGAGTACCTCCATGCGATCAAGTGTAGTGCGACTGCTTCGGACGATGCTGTTGCTGTAGGCTCGAAAGCTGCTCTGTTCTGAGAGTGGGCCGTAGCGCTGGGCCAGAAGCTGACTGCGTAGCCGCAGGTATTGCTTGCGAAGCAAGGGATCGAAGCCTGCTTTAGCGTTGTCACGCAGCAACTGGCTTCGTCTGCGGATGTATTGTGTACGGAACTGAGGGAAGTTTGGGGTGCGGTACGCGTTGTATCTGCAAGACAAGATGATGCATTAGCCGCCTGACACCTCAGCCAATAGTGTCCTTGTTGAATTTAACCTTCTCTTTTGCTTAGCATCATTTTGAGTTTTCATTAATCAAGAGAGTATAAAATTCTCTGCAGCTCAAAGTCCTAGGCTCATCTCAGTACTGTGCTGTAATCACACGTCAGT